GGTGGTGTGTCCAGGGCTGCGTGTGTCGAGGGCATTCTGTCAGATGGTTCTGCTCACAGTATTTCACTCCAGGAACGTGTCCTCATTTTGCAGAACAGGAAACGGGGGCTCCAAGGGCCTGTGGCTCGGAAGGGGTGGGGTGTGACCGGCACCCTGTCTCCCTGACTGCAAACCCCGTTCCCATTTCACTGCACCTCTCACACCGGCTGGACACCTGGCACCCGGCCACCTCGGGCGCAGGTTGATGGAATGAGTGTGGGGAAGGAGGCCTGGGGGCAGGGGACTGCCGGTCACTCCTCTCTCTCTCTCGCAGTCCCCTAAGCCCTGTGCCCGAGGGTGCCAGCACTGACACCGGCAGCCCGTTTGGCCTTCCTGTCTTCCCTGCAGGAGGAGCGCGGCAGGCATCCTGCCCGGCCAGCCCCACCCCCACCCTGTCCTGGCCCACATGCCCCTGCTTCCTGTGGGGTCATGGCCGTCTGGATGTCAAGGAGGCAGAGCTGGAGGGCCCTCCAGGTGCTGCCAGGGCCGCATCGCCGGCGGGCCGGGCGGGGCTGGGAAGACGGCCCTGCTCTCCTGGTACCTGGGGAGCCAAGCGGGCAGCCTGGGTGAGGTCCTGCCTGTGGTGAAGGCTGGCGGCCCAGAAGGCTGCCGACACTGCGCTCCTCCCACAATGGCCCCATTGTTCCCGCAGCCAGGCAGTTTGGAGGAGGTGCCTGGGCCACCCCTAACCCCCACCCCCAAACAGGGGCCAGATTAACCCCTTGGAGGCCAGGGGCTGGGTGCGGGCCCACAGGTCGCCCTTGAGCCCTGCCTCTCCTCTGGGACCCGGGCTCGGGAAGCCACTTTCTCCCCTCCCGTGCCCCAGGGCACCCCGGGCTGCAGCCTGGGGGCTTCCCCAGGGCCGGGAGTCGCACCTAGACCCTCTCCCGCCCCCACCGCGGTGCAGGAGCCAGGGACCAGGAAGTGCCAGTGGGGTGGCAGGCAGAGACCAGATATATTTGGGCTGGTGGGGCTAATTCCAGCTACCACCGCCTGCCCTACTGGCTCTCCAGCTCCTTTCCTTCCTGTGAAACCAGAGCTGGGTTGGGCCTAGCTCAGGATTTCGGTGGATTTAAAGAGGCAGCACCATCCCTGCCAGCTTCCTCTCCCCCTCCCCAGGTAGGGTCTGGGGCCGAGAGAGGGAGAGAGGGCCCTGTGCTTCTGGTCCTCCTTGCCCTGGGCTAACCCCTGGCCCGTGCCCCTGTGGGGGCGCCAGACTTCTGGCACTCCTCACTCCCAGAGCTTGGGGTGGGTGGGGTGGGCGGGGGTGGGCTGCGGTTTCCTGTGCGGGCTGTTTGTGCCTGGCCCAGAGTGCCCGCTGCCTGCCCGGGCTTCCTGCCCTGTTTGGTTCATTGTGCCCCCCTTCTCCCCTCCCCGCTGGGGGAGGGAGCAGCCAGGGATTGGGCAGCAGACTTTGGGGGCACCTCACTGCCAGGGCATGACTGCTTCCCGAGGCCTGGCCACACTGGCACTGGCTGAAGGAGTCGATGAGGTGACCTCAGGCTTGTCTAGGCAGTGCCACTTGTCCCCGCGGCCTCCGGAAGAGGGCACCAGAATGGGCGGAATCCCGGGTAGAAGCAGCCTGCTCAGTGACCCCAGACGGGAAAGGTCTGGGGCCTGGAGTTTCCGCCTCCCCGTAGGGCTGGGGTTGCCTGACATTACCCTGGGGCCGCAGGTGGCACTGGAAATTCCCAGACAAGAAGGGTTGATTTGCATGATCTCCTTTGGCAGGAGATGGGGGGAAGTGGGGAGAACTGCTAGGAAGCTGGACGAGGGGAAACCCCTCACCCCCAGCCCCCCAGCCTCGAAGTAACCACACACAGGGTCTCAGAGTGATACCCTGGTCCTTGGGCAGACTTCCCGCTGGGCGATGGATCCTTGACCTCCCCACCCAGCTGAGTCACCACCGCAGGAAGAGGAAGTGACCTGGGTGGTAGAGAGGAGCTTCTAGGGACCAAGGAGTCCCTGGAGAAAGGGGACTCAGGACCTTCTTGTCTTGGGGGCTGCATCTCCTTGAGCCAGAGGCCAAGGGTGCCACCTCTGTTGCTCCCAGCGGGGCCCTGTCCTTTTGGCCATCACAGGGAGTCCTAGCCATTCACTTCCTCGCCAGAGGCATCTGCCCACTGAACGTGGGGCATGGCCCCTCCAAGCAGCTTTCTTACGGCCTCTTTTGGGTGGTTTTGAGCTAGGCAGAGCCGGTGGGCTTGCTAGAGCACCAAGCAGAGGCTTCCCAGGTGGGGGGGCCGGAAGGAAGCAGATGGCCACTGGCCGGGGATGCCGCCCGTACCTGCGGCAGCTCCGTGCTGAGCAAGGAGCTGGAGGCTCTGGGCGTCCATGGACGCTTTCCTGGTCTCCCACCTCCAGCACGGGTCAGGCCCTGCTTCCTGCCCTCTCCCCAGCTGCATAGGGAGGGCAACTATCTCACTCTGTCTTGGCGCCTCCTGGGCTCTGTTCTCCTGGGCATGCTCTTGGCCTTTCACTTAGGAGCCTGGCACCGGGCGCTGTTTGCCAGCCTGTCTCCACTACCCACCGTACCCCCTAAGAGGGGGCCGCAGCAGTGTGTTCCCACAGCCCCTCCCTTTCCTTCCACCCATCTTAGGGGCTCCAGCCTGGTGCTGGGAAGCCCCCTTCACTCATGGGTTAGGGCTTGGGGGATCAAGGGGGCTTAGTTTTAGTATATGGTGATGGAAGACGATTTGACTTTGGGTGGGGGGCACACAGTGTCTTATACAAATCTTGTAACATATAAATCCACACCCCAAACCTACATGATCCTATGAACCGATGTCACCCCACTACATCTGATTAAGAAAAATGAAAACGGCATCCACCAGGGACCAGCCCTCAGTCTCTCCTGGGACTGTGTGTGTGAGAAGGGTCTCTGGGGGCTGGGCAGACTCCTGAGGGGTAAAGGTGTGTGTGTGTGTGTGGGGGGGGGCGCTGTGAGATGGGAAAGTCCTGACTCATTCCTGCTTGACTCAGCTTGCCCTGCGGCCGGGTGGGGGCGAGGAGGTGGTGTTCTGGGGGAGAGAGTCCCGCCTTACTGGGGACCCTGGAGAAGACTAACTTTCTAACGCCCCCGCCCCAAATCATGACAGGTCCCAACAGTTTAAGCTGTGCACACAGGTGGTAGTGGTGGCCCCTGCCCTGGCCCTGGCCCGTGGGGAACCCACCTCTCCGGCATGGGCTCTGATGAGCCGTGGTCACTCAGCGGGGGGCACTGCAGTGTGGGGAAACACAGGGGGACGCGGGCTTGGCGATGCACTTCTTGGTCACTTCCTTTCCCTAGACCTCAGTTTCCTCATGGTGAAAGGGGGACCATCCAACTACTACCTCCCAGTGGGTGGCAGGTGGTGAGGATGACCGAGGTGGCGGAGGTGGGGCCGGAGACCCCCGGCAGCCCCCGCCGGCCCTCTGCCCGGCGCTGCGCCCATGCCCATCCGCTCCGGCCGGGGCAGGGGGCTGGCTGCAGGCTGCTTCCCAGCCAGGCCCTGGACTTTGAAACATTTCCCGAGGCTCCTCCCTTCCAGGGCCAGATCTGGAGCCGGAAGGCCAGGGTGCCCCGGGGTTAAGTTAGGGTTAGATTCTCACAGGGTCACAGGTGGGGCCCCCTCACCCCGCAGTCCCAGCCCAGCCTCCAGCCGCCGGGCGGGGAGCAGCGGGACCAGCGGGACGTGCCTGGTGTCTGGGGGGCCTGTCACCTGTACAAAGCTCGGGGCCCAGGACTCCACCCCTCCCCTCCCCCACCGGTGCGGGATGGCCGGGTGGGGGGCAGGGCCGGGCCGGGCAGGGGGCGGCAGGGTGAGGCCCGTGTCTGTGTAAGTGTCTGTCCTGCTGTGTCTGTGACTGCGGCCTGAACTTGCTAGGGCTCCCGTGGCCGGCCTCAGTCTCCCCCTGCGCCCCAGCAGGCGCCCGCGCCGGCGGGGTGGCTCCGGCCCGCGCCTCCAGCGCACCTCGCCAGCCTGGCGTGGGCGCACCTCTGGCTTCCTGGGCTCGGTGCGTGTCTTTGTCTCCCGGTCCACGTGTGAGCTGTGAGTGTGTGAGTCAGAGTTCGGCTGCCGGCGGCCGAGCCCCTGCCTGGCGGCGCCCGCGCTCGGCCGCCCGGGCCGCGTGTCTGTCCCCCGGCGCTGCCCGGAGGGGCGCCGCGTCCTGTCCGCCTCCCGCTGCATCGCCTTTGGCTGCTGTCTGCTCGCTCTGCCTCTCCGCTCGGCTCTGCGAGGGGGTGGGGTGGGGTGCAGGGCGGGGGAGGGGAGGCTCCTGCATTCTTGCGGTTGGGGAGGAATCTGAGCCAGCGTTACTGGTCTCCAGAAGAGCCCAGCTGCAGCCCCGGGGCCCCGCCAGGCCTCTCGCTGCCCGCCCGGGCCTGCTGGGATGGGCACGGGCTAGGCCCCGAGCTGAGGGCGGAGCAGGGCCCCCATCCCCGGCTCCCCCACGCCTGGGGCGCCCGGGGCGGGGCGCTGCGCTGGGGTAGGTGTGGGGGTCGCGAGGGGTTCCCTGCCCCAAGTAAGGGGCGTGCCTGGGAGAGAGAGTTCCCCAGGGTGCCATCAGAGACTTCAGGCCCTCCCGCCACACGTGGGCACCGTTGCAACCTATCTTTTTACTGCATTCTGCCTCTGGGGCCCGGGGCCTGCCGGAGACTGCAAGCTCCCTGTGGGTCAAGGGAGGGAGGGCTGGGGTAGGACTGGCCTCTAGGACCGAGACCCCACCTAGTAGTCGTTCCTTTCCATCCCCACCCCACCCTATCCAGTTCCCTAGTCTCAGGGCTGTTGGGTCCTCCCTTCTCCCCTCCCCTCCTTACACCCCTCCCCAAGTCACAAGTTTTCTCTTTGGGGCTTGTTGCTGCAGTCCGTGCTCCAGTACCGAGTACCTGGCTGGGCCCTGGGCACGCAGGGGGCCGTAGCCCCACTGTGTGTGGGAGCCATGAGGATCCTGGCTAACAAGACAAGGTGTGTGGGTGTCATGGAGGGTGGGGTGTGTGTGGCTGCGGGAAGGGAAGGGCCCACCGTGATGGGGCTGAGCCGTGCTGGCTGGAGAGCCAGCCTCCCTGGGCAGCTAGCTTCCAGGCCACCAGTGAGCTCAGGGGGTCAGAATGGGAAGGCCTGCCCGAGGCCGGAGCCTTATGCCTGGGCCCAGGGGACAGGCGGGCAGGCAACCAGCAGTGCCTGCTGCCCAGTCCCTTCCAACCTTCTTCTTCAGAACAGTTTGAGCAGAACCCCCACCCCCCACCCCACTGTCGGGTCCAATGGCTCCCTCTGGCCCCAGCCTGGGGGGGGCAGTGCCTCCTTCCTCCCCTTCCCCAGGAGAAGCCTGCAGACAGGGCCAGGCGGCCAGCAGGACAGCAGAGCTGAAATAAATCTGAGCTGGTGTGGAATGAGGGGGGATAAATATCCTCTCCCAGTGATGTGATCTTTCCAGCGGCTATTAATAGGTCTCCGGGGAGGGGGAGGTGGTGGGGGGGAGCCAGCTGGATCTTAAAGGGCCCACAGCCCAGGCTGCAGGAATCCTTGGCTTTAAGCTGCACTCCAGCCTGCTCCACACACCGCCCCCCTTCCCCTTCCTTCCTGCTCCTGCCTGCCCGCCAGGCCCGCCCCAACCTCTTCAGGCTCTCCCCCTCCTGCTCTGGGGAGCTGTCGGGCCAGGGGCTACCACTGTGTTGTGTCTCCCCACTTCCCCAGGGGAATGGGACTGGGGCATGTCACTCAGGTCCTGTGCCCCTTCCCTGTTGGTGTGGGGACACATGGAAGTTGAGGTTTGGGACCTTGGAAGGAATCCGGAGGAGAAACCCTAGACAAGAGAGGGTGGCCGAGTGTTGGGCGGGTGCTAGTGTGTGTGAGGGTGCTGTGCCACCGATGGCTGCCCCATGGACACTGGGGGTGTGGGTGGGTTCTGCCGAGGAAAGGCTCTGGTTCTCATTTGAATTGTAGGGGCTGAGGGTGGAGGGATTTGCCCCTCTTCACTCTGCGAGGCGAATGCATCCGCCCTCGTCTGAGGAGCAATGAAAGGAGGTAGGGAATGAGCGGGTAGTCTGGAGATGCCTCTCAGCCCTCACCTCCCCACCACTAGGTGAGGCAAGACGGGCACTTAAAATCCAGGCGCCCGAGCCCCTATCAAGGTTAACTTTCCATGTCTCTCTCACCCTCTCCCAGGTTACCCCACCCCAGGAGGAGAGAAGCTCCGGGGAGCCCGCCACTGTCCCCCCGCGGCCACTGCCCCCCTGCCCCATCCAAGCCAATGCACCCAGAAAATAAGTTGACCAATCATGGCAAGACAGGGAATGGTGGGGCCCAATCCCAGCACCAGAATGTGAACCAAGGACCCACCTGCAACCTGGGCTCGAAGGGTGTGGGGGCGGGGAACCATGGGGCCAAGGCCAACCAGATTTCACCTAGCAACTCAAGTCTGAAGAACACCCAGGCAGGGGTGCCCCCTTTCAGCTCGCTCAAGGGCAAAGCGAAGAGGGAGCGGAGTGTGTCTGTGGACTCTGGAGAACAGCGAGAGGCTGGGACTCCATCCCTGGATTCCGAGGCCAAAGGTACCCCATTTTCTGATCCCCCAAGAGTTCCAGCATGTTTTACGGTCCAGGGCCCAGACCCGCTGGGAGACCATCTCTCTGTCCCCCTTGCCGAGTCCTCGTCCCCTGCTTCTCGCTAGCATTTATGTAGGAACATCTTTCTCTTACCCCATTTACCCACCAACCTGGCCACTTTCTTAGGATTGGGGTTGGCCAGGGTGGAGATTTGTCATCCTCAGGGGCCACCCATGATGGGGCCGCACAGAGTGATGGGTTGGTTTCTGGTCAGTCTCCTTCCCCCTCTGCTCTCCTACCAGAACCCCTATAGGGGGAGAGGGAGGTGCTCTGGGGTGAGGAGCCGACCAGCACATCCCAGGAACCTCTTGGTATCTGAGCAGCCACTAGCCTGGAAGAGTAGCAGAAGCTTCCCCCCTCCACCCCCCCAGCCCTAATTAGAACCAGTTGTGCCTGGTGCTGGGTGGGGGAGGGGAGATAGGCAGTGGGCTGTAGAGAGAAATCAGAAACAAATGGTGGTGTGGTGGGGGCCAAGGGCTGGCTCAGTGCCCACGTAGCTGGCATTGCCCTGGATGTGGGGAGAACGGGCCGGGGGTGGGAGGACGGGGCCTCTGCGCACTCACGCTGACCCCTGCCTGCCTGTCCTGCCCGCAGAGGTGGCACCCCGGAGCAAGCGGCGCTGTGTGCTGGAGCGGAAGCAGCCCTACAGCGGGGACGAATGGTGCTCGGGACCAGACAGCGAGGAGGACGACAAGCCCATCGGGGCCACCCACAGTGAGTGCCCATCATGCCAGGGTGCTGTAGCCCATGGCGCCCTTGGGGGATGGCTGCCCTGAGGGAGCCTGCCTCTCTTCACCTGGGACTTCAGAGGCTGGGGCAAGCAGCAAGGGTCAGGAGCCCAGGCTCCTCTGTGGCCCCACCTCTGAATGCTCCCTGCATTGTGACAGTTCTGCCCCTGCCGTCCAGGTGCTGCTCAGCGGCCCCCTCTTCCGAAGGACCAGGTGGGGTGGGGTGAACCTCAGGTGGCCCCTTCTGGCTCTGCGCTTTATACCGCCTCCCATGAATTCCTGGCCTATGCTGCCACCTACTGGTCAGTCGAGGGAGGGCAGGAAGAGTCCAGCATCAACCTGGGCTCTGTGGTCAAAGCCTTGCTAAGCCTGGACCGAGCTACAGCCTTCCTTAACCTTGAACTGTCTGCTGGCAAGTGCCCAGAATACACCGCCAGGCAGAGTGTGGGCGCGGGTGGATGCTCACTCTCATTCTTTTAGTGATCAGCATGTATTTGGGCCTTCCACAGGTGATGGGGGAGAACCAGACACAACCCTGCCCTCGGGAGGCCCAGGCACATTTGTGCTAACCCTCAAAACTTACGTCTGTTTTGTTTGCGGGGGGTGAAACAGTGGAACGCATAAGAAACTAGCCAGAGAGTGTTCAAGTGTGAGCTCGGTGAAGCAGGGACTTAGGAAGAAGGAAGAAAAAAGATGCTGTTTACACTTACTGCTTTGTGGTGTCCAGTCCTTACGACAGCCCAGTGAGGTGGGCGTTATGGGATGTTGCAGAGGGGGAAAGTCAGCAGGTGTTTGTGGAATGAGTGGACCATGTCTGTGGAGGGGGCACGAGATCAAATGCCCAAGAAGCCTCTATGGCTGGCTGGGTTTGCTGCTGCTGTTCATCCTCACCTGATGGTGTTTTCCCATCAGTGTTTGGAGAGAGCGGAAGGGAAGACGGAGGGGAAGAAAGAGAGAGAAACGTCGATGCGAGAGAGACACACCAATTGGTTGCCACCTGCACTACCCCAACTGGGGCTGGGGACAAACCGTAACCGAGGTACGTGCCCTTGGCTGGAATCAAACCTAGGACTCTTTGGTCCGCAGGCTGACGCTCTAACCGCTGAGCCAAACCGGCCAGGGCTCTGTCAGCATTTTCTAACTCTGTTTCCCCAAGGAGTTTTCAGTTGCTGACTATTTCCAAACTTGTTAACAAAAAATAGATTTTTTTGCCCAGGCGGTGTGGCTCAGTGGTTGAGCTTGACCCATGCACCAAGAGGTTGCTGGTTCGATTCCCGGTCAGAGCACATGTCCAGGTTGTGGGCCCGATCCCCAGTGGGGGGCGTGCAGGAGGCGGCCAGTCGATGTTCTCTCTCATCGATGTTTCTGTCTTTCTCCTTCTCCCTTCCTCTCTCTCTAAAATCAACAAAGAAAAAAAAATGTTAAAAAAAAAAAAGGTTTTTGGACCTGCCCAGCGCAGGCAGGAGAATTGAGGCTCAGAGGGACCAGTGCCTTGTTCCAGGCCACAGTCAGAGGGAGCGTGAGCACCAGTCACCATCTGAGTCATCCGTGTGTGCCTTTGGGCTTCTCGCTCGCTGGCCAGGGTGCCCGGGTGCACGCCGGCGCTCAGACGCAGCGCGAGGGGCAGAGCGGTCTGACCGGGCTTGGCAGACCTGCGGGAACCGCGTGCCAGGCACGTGGGCACCTGCTCCTGGGGCTCACACTGCCTCCTTTCCTGCCACGTGGTCCCCACGGTGACCGTCCTGGTCTAGGGCGAGTGCAGATGGCAACGCCTGGCCCTGTGGGCACCACCTTGGAAGCAGTGCACCTCTGTCCCCGGGCACCTCTGGGTGCGGTGATGGGTGCAGCTCGCTCTCCTTTCTAGATCTGGGCTCTTACCCTCTTTCCTTGTCTCACCAGATTGTAATGTAGTAGAGCCTGCCATGGCGGCCCCGCAGCTGGGCCCCAGCCAAGCCGCCCAGCTTCCCCTCAGTGAGAGCAGTGCGCCAGGCCCCCCGCATGGACCCCCGCCTGGCCTTCGGCCCGATGCCCCCGGGGGCGGGGGTGTCCCCGGAAAGCCCCCCTCACAGTTCGTCTATGTCTTCACCACCCACCTGGCCAACACGTAAGTGCCTCAGGGCGACCAGGCTGAGCTCTCCCCGCACCCCCAGCCTGGGGCCCGGAGGGGCTGGGCGGGTGGGGTGCGGAGGCCCCGCGGGTCTCTGAGCTCCTGTGCCTGACCCCTGCGCAGGGCCGCGGAGGCGGTGCTGCAGGGCCGGGCCGACTCCATCCTCGCCTACCACCAGCAGAACGTGCCCCGGGCCAAGCTCGACCAGGTGGGTGCGCTGCCTCCACTGGGCGCGCGGGCTGCGCCTCCCCCACCTGCTCACGCTCTGCTCTCCGTCGCCCTCTTGCAGGCCCCCAAAGTGCTGTCCACCCCAGAGCCGCTGCCCCTGAGCGCGCCGGCGGCGGGCACGCCGCAGTCCCAGCCTCCCGCGCTGCCGCCGCCCCCCGCCCCCGGCAGCGCGCCCCCTGCTCTGCCTTCGGAGGGGCCCCCCGAGGACGCCAGCCAGGACCTGACGCCCAACTCCGTGGGAGCCGCCAGCACGGGCGGAGGGCCCGGGGGCACCCACCCCAACACCCCGACCGCTGCTGCCAACACCAACCCGCTGCCGCCCGGAGGAGACCCCAGCGGCGCCCCGGGCCCCGCCCTGCTCGGGGAGGCCGCCCCCACGGGCAGCGCGCGCCTGGCGGGCTCCGAGGGCCTGTCCAAGGAGCAGCTGGAGCACCGCGAGCGCTCCCTCCAGACCCTGCGCGACATTGAGCGGCTGCTGCTCCGCAGCGGGGAGACTGAGCCTTTCCTCAAGGGGCCCCCAGGAGGAGCAGGTGAGGGGGGACCTCCAGCACCAGCCCCTCCTGCCCCCCCTCAGCCACCCCCGGCCCCGCCCAGCGCGCTGAAGAAGTACGAGGAGCCCTTGCAGTCCATGATTTCGCAGACACAGAGCCTGGGCGGCCCCCCGCTGGAGCACGACGTGCCCGGGCACCCCCCGGGCGGGGAGATGGGGCAGCCGATGAACATGATGATGCAGAGGCTGGGCCAGGACAGCCTGACGCCGGAGCAGGTGGCCTGGCGCAAGCTGCAGGAGGAGTACTACGAGGAGAAGCGGCGGAAGGAGGAGCAGATCGGGCTGCACGGGGGCCGCCCCCTGCAGGACATGATGGGCATGGGGGCCATGATGGTGAGGGGGCCGCCTCCGCCCTACCACAGCAAACCCGGGGATCAGTGGCCGCCTGGAATGGGCGCCCAGCTGCGGGGGCCCATGGATGTCCAAGACCCCATGCAGCTCCGGGGTGGCCCTCCCTTCCCCGGCCCCCGTTTCCCAGGCAACCAGATGCAACGGGTGCCGGGGTTTGGGGGCATGCAGGGCATGCCCATGGAGGTGCCGATGAATGCCATGCAGAGGCCTGTGAGGCCAGGTATGGGCTGGACTGAAGACTTGCCCCCCATGGGGGGGCCCAGCACTTTTGCCCAGAACCCTGTGCCCTACCCAGGCGGGCAGAGTGAAGCCGAAAGATTCATGACCCCTCGGGTCCGGGAGGAGCTGCTGAGGCACCAGCTGCTGGAGAAGCGGTCGCTGGGCATGCAGCGCCCCCTGGGCATGGCCGGTGGCGGCGGCATGGGGCAGGGCGTGGAGATGGAGCGGATGATGCAGGCGCACCGGCAGATGGACCCGGCCATGTTCCCTGGGCAGATGGCCGGCGGCGAGGGCCTGGCGGGCACTCCCCTGGGCATGGAGTTCGGCGGAGGCCGGGGCCTTCTGAGCCCCCCCATCGGGCAGTCCGGGCTGAGGGAGGTGGATCCCCCACTGGGGCCGGGCAACCTCAACATGAACATGAACGTGAACATGAACATGAACATGAACCTGAACGTGCAGATGACCCCCCAGCAGCAGATGCTGATGTCGCAGAAGATGCGGGGCCCCGGGGACATGCTGGGGCCGCAGGGCCTCAGCCCCGAGGACATGGCCCGGGTGCGGGCTCAGAGCAGCGGCGGCATGGTGGGCGGCCCGCAGAAGATGCTCCTGCCCTCACAGTTCCCCAACCAGGGCCAGCAGGGGTTCTCGGGGGGCCAGGGACCCTACCAGGCTCTGCCACAGGACATGGGCAATACCCAGGATATGTTCAGCCCTGACCAGAACTCGATGCCCATGGGCAGTGTGGGGACCACTCGACTCAGCCACATGCCTCTGCCCCCTGCGTCCAACCCTCCTCCGGGGTCTGTGCATTCGGCCCCGAACCGGGGGCTGGGCAGACGACCTTCGGACCTCACCATCAGTATTAATCAGATGGGCTCGCCAGGCATGGGGCACCTGAAGTCGCCCACCCTTAGCCAGGTGCACTCACCCCTGGTCACCTCGCCCACTGCCAACCTGAAGTCGCCCCAGACTCCCTCCCAGATGGCACCCTTGCCTTCTGCCAATCCGCCGGGACCTCTCAAGTCGCCCCAGGTGCTCGGCTCCTCTCTCAGTGTCCGCTCGCCCACGGGCTCTCCCAGCAGGCTCAAGTCCCCCTCCATGGCGGCGCCTTCTCCAGGCTGGGTCGCCTCGCCCAAGACAGCTATGCCCAGCCCTGGGGTCCCCCAGAACAAGCAGCCGCCTCTCACCATGAACTCTTCTGCCAGCCTGGGCAACATGGAGCAGGGTGAGTCCGCGGTGCTGGGCAGGTGGGCGTTGGACCCTGCACGGGGCGTCTAGGTGGTGTGTCCGTGATGGGGCCGGGGGATAGGCATCTGCACAGAGCGGGCGGCTGGCCTGAGGGGGCGATGTTGGCAGCTGGGTGTGGGCTCTCGCAGGAGCACGTGCTAATCTCCCAGGCATCTGGGGGGTCATGCTTGGCATCTCCCCGTTGCCTGAGGCCCCGAGGCCGGAGGAACTGCTTGAGGAAGGGTGGGCTGTGAGAGGGGTCTGTGTTCGGTGGGACATCTGGATAGAGGTGCCTAGAAGAGCCGGGTGGAGATTGGGGAGCTGACCTCCTGAACCCCGATACGAACAGCTAGATGACTGTCCCCTCCCCAGTCACCTCTGCACTTTGTCTCCCCACTTCTGTAGGCGCCCTCCCGCCTAGTGGTCCCCGGAGCAGCTCCTCGGCGCCTCCCGCCAACCCTCCCGGCGGCCTCATGAACCCCAGCCTGCCATTCACTTCCTCCCCAGATCCCACACCTTCCCAGAACCCTCTGTCACTGATGATGTCCCAGATGTCCAAGTACGCCATGCCCAGCTCCACCCCCCTCTACCACAATGCCATCAAGACCATCGCCACCTCAGACGACGAGCTGCTGCCTGACCGGCCCCTGCTGCCCCCGCCACCACCGCAGGGCTCTGGGCCAGGTGGGAGGACAGGAAGGGGGCCGCAGGGAGAAGAGCTGGCGTGGGCTTCGGGGTGGCGTGAGGGGGCGTGGCCAGCAGTCACCCGTGTGGTCACACCGGCCTTTATGTTCTAGAGGGCCCCGGGGCGGGGATGTGACGTCCTGGGACCCAGTTCCCGCTCACAGTCATGTAGTGGAACCAAGCCCAGGGCACTGGAGTGGTCTTCCCGGCCACCAGCGATGTGGCCATGGCAAGTTGGGCCAGAACCTGGGTCTCTTGGCTTCTGAACCGAATGCCTCAAGCCCCTCTCCTTGCAGCCCGGGCAGGCTGCCGCTGAGCGTCCTCGCCCCTGGCACCAGCTGGGCACGTGCAGCTCCTCACCCCCCTTTCTCTTTCCCCACAGGGGCCAGCAGTACCCAGTCCAACCAGATGCACCTGAACTCGGCTGCTGCCCAGAGCCCACTGGGCATGCACCTGCCAGGCCAGCAGCCCCTGTCCCATGAGCCCCCGCCTCCCATGTTGCCCTCCCCCACCCCTCTGGGTTCCAACATTCCACTGCACCCCAATGCTCAGGGGGCAGGGGCACCCCCTCAAAACTCAATGCTGATGGCTCCAGGAGGCCCAGATGCCCTGAATGCCCCCTGTGGCCCGGTGCCCAGCTCCTCCCAGATGATGCCCTTTCCCCCTCGGCTGCAGCAGCCCCATGGTGCCATGGCCCCCGGCGGGGGCGGGGGTGGGGGGCCTGGCCTGCAGCAGCACTACCCTTCAGGCATGGCCCTGCCCCCAGAGGACCTGCCCAGCCAGCCGCCCGGCCCCATGCCCCCCCAGCAGCACCTGATGGGCAAAGGCATGGCTGGGCGCATGGGCGAAGCATACCCACCGGGCGTGCTCCCCGGGGTGGCATCCGTGCTGAACGACCCCGAGCTGAGCGAGGTGATCCGGCCCACCCCAACGGGGATCCCCGAGTTCGACCTGTCGAGGATCATCCCCTCCGAGAAGCCGAGCAGCACCCTCCAGTACTTCCCCAAGAGCGAGAACCAGCCCCCCAAGGCGCAGCCCCCCAATCTGCACCTCATGAACCTGCAGAACATGATGGCGGAGCAGACCCCCTCACGGGCCCCCAACCTCCCAGGCCAGCAGGGTGTCCAGCGGGGGCTCAACATATCTATGTGCCACCCCGGACAGATGTCCTTGCTGGGCAGGACAGGTGTGCCCCCACAGCAGGGCATGGTGCCCCACGGCCTGCACCAGGGGGTCATGTCCCCTCCGCAAGGCCTCATGACCCAGCAGAATTTCATGCTGATGAAGCAGCGGGGTGTGGGTGAGGTCTACAGCCAGCCGCCCCACATGCTGTCCCCCCAGGGCCCGCTCATGGGCCCCCCGCCCCAGCAGAGCCTCATGGTGTCCCACCCCTTGCGGCAGCGCAGTGTGTCTCTGGACAGCCAGATGGGCTACCTCCCCGCACCGGGCAGCATGGCCAACCTGCCCTTCTAGCGCCTTGCTCGGGCGGAGCTGGGCCGGGTCGCAAATCCGATAACCTGAAAACGTTTCTTCCCTCCAGGGTTGGGGTGCCCTGGGGTCCAGGGGTGGGTTGGAGGGGTGGGAGGGGCTCGTGTGGGGAGTGGCATTTGTGGCAACCAGATACGCTGGCAGCTTAGTGGGGATGGCAGAGTAGGGGGGCTCTGGGGAGGGGTTTGTTCCATTTCGGCCATCAGAGTGCCCCTCCCCCTCCCCCAAGTCCTGCGGAGCCTCTGTTTCCCTGTCCACACCCAGCCCCACTCAGCTGTGCTGTCCGAGTCCTGCGTGGAACCCTTGGGGGAGGACGGGGAGGTGACGTCTCCCTTCTCCGGCCCTTGCCGCTGTCTTCAGTGCCCCTCTGGGCCTTGCTGTTCCCACCTGGCCTCCGTCTTCCTGCCCCGTCCCTCCCCCTGCTGACGTGGCTGACCCCTGTGCCCCTTCCTGCAGGCGGCTGGGCAGGTGGGCAGGTGCCAGCCAAGCTGTAAATAGAGAGCTGCGCTTCTGTGCCAGTCTGTGTGTGTGCTGTATTTCTGTGTTTTGATAGAAGTCACACAAAAAAGGGATAAGAGAAACCCTTCCCCCTTTCAAATGATTGCCCGTTGTTCCTGGACCCAGGGGTGTGCAGGCTGCTGCACCTGTCCGCTGTCACGGCGTCGCTGGGGCCGGAAAGGAAACCTGGTCCCTGAACGGTGACCTGTCCTAGATGCACCCCTGAGCTGAGGCCAGACCAGCTAGGCTTCCCCCTGGTGCCCCCAGGCTGAGGCCTGCTGCCAGGTGGCCCAGGACGAGTGTGCCTGTGTGTCCCACACAGTGACACGGGCCCTGGCGTCCTGGCTGTGCATGTCTGGTGTCCCCTGCTGCTGCAGCTCAGCCAGAGCTTGAGGTCCGAGGTCCCCGGTCTGGGATGGAGGAGAGGAGAGAGGCAGAGGCCGTGTGGCCCCCGGAATGGAGCCATGCGGAGTGGCATGGTGGCCCAGCGGGATCCCCAGGGCCCCGATTCCTCCAGAGGCTCCCCCTAATTCTGTCACCAAAGGGTTTGGCCGAGTCGGTCTTTCTCCTGCCAGCTTCCACCCACTGCGGACAGACCAGGGACAGGGTTGGACGGGCAGCAGGGGAGCATTCTGCCAACCCCTCTGCCCGCCCGTCCACCTGCCCACGGGCAGAGCTCCTGCCAGGGCCGGCTGTGTGCCCACCCAGGCACAGCACTGCCCCTCCGCCCCAGGAGAGCTCCCCGCCCCTCCGGGCGAGCTGAAGCCATACACGACTGGGCATCCTGCACCCCTGGCCCAGGAGCAAAACTTCTCCTTTCTCACTTCCTTTCCTGCCTCGGGTGGCAGGCAGCTCCCTGGCTGAGGCCTGTGGTGTCCGCCTGCGGGCCCGGGGCCGGTTTAGACCAGGTGTCTTCTGCCATGGCCTGTCCTCAGCCTCCTGACCGGCAGGGCCTGTCCTCACACTGGCAGCTGTCACACAAGGGAATGTGTCCCCACTTCTCCCAGTCTGGTGCTGTCCCCAGTCCACTTCCGCCAGGTCCGGCGCTTCCCCTGGGTCTGGCTGCTGGCTCCGGCCTCCCCCGGCACCTCCCAGGGCTGGGACCTAGGCCTCACACCCGAGCTACCTGCCCTCCATCCAGCCGGGCACTGTGCCTGCCCCGCCTCAGCCTGGGCCCTGGCCCGGGCGCCCCACCCCCAGCTCTCCAAACTGACTCAGTGTCCCCGCCCCAGAGGAGGGTCAGACTGCCAAGGGCCCCAGCTCTCATTTTCCCGCTGCACCACCAGAGTCGCTTTTCAAGGAAAACTCCACAGGCCAGCCTCGTCCCCTCCATCCGTGGCCACACCCCCAGCCATTTTGTACCATTATATAAATATATATAAATATAAATATATAAATACGATATGTGAAGACATCCTCTTGGTTTTTATTTTGAAAGGATTTTTAGGCTTGTTCCGGGGGTCTGTGCTGCCTGTACTGTATTGCCCTGTTTTATAGGTGCCTTTGTATTAAAGAGAAAATCAAACCTCTGCTCTCGCGTGTTCCTTCTGCACCAGGCTCCCCGACTGCCCAGCTGGCTGCTAGGAGGAAGGGACAGTGCCCTGGGTCCCAGCTCTGGGAACTTGGCTGACCGGCTGGAGGGGGAACCTGCTGTCCACTCCAGCTGGACGGAGGCCGGGGTGGAGGGAGGGCGAGCAGGTGACCTGGGGGTGAGCATGCGTGGAGCAGCTTCCCCTGTTCCATCTGAGCAGTACCCTCAAGGGCAGGGCCCCGCTTCCTGGGGGCAAGGGACTTCCCTGCCCAGGGCTGCTTCTCACACTGTGTAGCCACGGGGACGCCGCAGGTGCTCTGAGTCTGCCCTGGGCTCGGCCTCCAGGTGGGCTGCAGGAGCTGCCTGGCCTCAGGGGCCTGCCTCTGCCAAGTGCTTCCTCTACGGTGGGGGCCAGCTTGGGGACTTTCCCGGCTGTGTCTCCTACTGGGAGGGGGCAGGGAGAAAGCAGTCGGCCTCCTCCATCAGTGCCCAGACCCACCAGGGTCATGGACCCTGCCAGCCTGGCCTGGCCTGGAGCTGTCCACTCTGGGCAGAGGAGGTGGCTGGCTTTCCACTTGTTCCTCCTCGGGACTGGGGAAGGAGAACCCTTTCTTCCCCTGGCTGGGCCTCTTTGTGCTGGCTCAGCCTTGGTTCTTCTCTAGGACGGGGGCCGGTCTCCGAGGGCGCGGGGGTCTGCCCCTCTCGGCAGACCTCCCGGGGCCCGGTGACGTGGAGCTGGCCCAGGCCATCTCAGCCGGAGCCAGGGACAGCCAGCTACCTGGTCTGAGCCGGTCTGCGCTTCCCGGGGCCACAGTGCTGCAGGCTTGCCGGCTGGCGACACGCGTGTGTGTGGAGACGGAGACACGCGGTGGCCACACGGTTGCTCGCTGGCCTGTCCTTCACCTTCACCTCCACCCCCTGGCGCTCAGCATTTAGCTTCCTTCGGCAGGTGGGGGGAGGGACGCTGAGCAGTTGTGGAGGTCAGTGGCTGAAAGATGATGGCGTGCCCTCGGGGAGGGGCACGACGGGCCATAGGAGCTAAGACAGAAGTCCATTTGTCTCTCGAGCTTTGGCTGGTTACGACGAGAGGTGCGTGAGGCCCTCCCAGCCCAGGGTGACTCAGATGGGCACAGGGATCCCTTGAGCTGCTTCCGCTCCCCGGAGTCCAGCCCAGCCCCGGGCAGGAGGGGAGCTGCAGGGATGTCGTGGATAGAAGCGTCGATTCATCTAGCTGCCCCACGGAAGGACACTGGCCCAGGTGAGCTCCTAGGGTCCCGGCGTCCGCTGGGAGGGTTCCAGCATCAGCGCGTCCCCCGAGAAAGTAGGAACGAAGGGCCGGGACCTAGAAAGTGGTGAGGGAGGTGGCGTTCTCTGACTCGGAGAGACTGTTCTTACGCCAGCTGGGAAGGAACTGGCAGAGGGAGGCCGGGCTGGCACAGCCCAGCTTGGTCAGGATCCGAGACAGGTCACTGCGGAACTTCACTCCGGCGAACGTGTAGAGCATGGGGTTGAGGCAGCAGTGCGCCAGGCCCAGGAACTCGCTCATGGTGATGGCCACCGACAGGTAGCCGTTCAGCTCGCACTGGCTGCCCAGGGCGTTCATCCTCGCCAGCGTGTCCAGGAAGATCACGATGTGGTAGGGCGACCAGCAGAGGAAGAAGACGCTCGTGACCAGGATGGCCACCCTGACCGCCTTCTGCCGCTGCGGGCGCCGCTGGGCCTGGCACAGCCTGTTCACCACGCTGGCGTAGCACCAGGCCATCACCAGCATCGGCAGCAGGAACCCCCCGAAGTGGTAGAGGAAGCGGGAGGCGAACCAGGCTTTGGTTTGGACGTGGTTCTCCTGGGAAAAGGTGCACAGCGGCAGGGAGTCGTTGTGGTGGCCTCGGCTGACCTTGGCGAAGAAGATCTCCGGCAGGGCGAAGCAGAGGCCGGCCAGCCAGACGGCCGCGCAGGTGATGTGGATGGAGAGCAGGCGGCGGTGGCGGTAGGCGTGGACGGCGTGCACGATGGCCAGGTAGCGGTCCACGGCCACGCAGGCCAGGAGCAGGCTGCTGCAGTAGAAGTTGATCTTGTGCAACGCGATCACAGTTTTGCAGAGGAAGGTGCCCAGGACCCAGCCCAGGGAGCCCTCGGCCACAGCGAAGGGCAGGATGAAGACCAGCAGGAGGTCGGCCACCGCCAGGTGGAACAGGAAGGTCTCGGTGGAGCTGCGCGTGTGCCGATGGCGCTCCAGGATCACCAGCACCAGGATGTTGCCCAACATGCCCAGGAGGAAGATGAGGCCGTAGGCCACCGGCATGAACACGGCCTTGAAGGAGGTGAGGAGGGGCCCCTCGGCGGTGGAGCAGATGTAGTTCTCCACGGGGAAGATCTCGGTGCTGTAGCTGTAGTTACCTAGTTCCTTGGGTCGCAAGGGCAAGGAGACAGGAAGGTAGAGAACTGAGCACCCACCTTTCCTCACAAAGACGGACCCCGACCCCCTTGCAGATGCTCTGATCCCCCAGACTGACTGCTCTTGTCCCTGCACCCCCAGTGTGTCCCGGGGCCAAACGCCAGCTTCCCTTCGCGCCCTTGGACACACCGCGTTGCCTTTCCCGCCTCCCGTTCCATGGTGAGAGGGGCCCCTGCTCCCACAGAGCGACGGAGCGGAAAGGACACCCCGTGTGGACATGTCTCACACTCTGAAGGGCTGTGTCCCTGTAAGTGATCTGCGTGTGTGTCCTCAGGTGGGGATGGCGGCAGGCTCCGGGCTGCCCTCAGGACTTCGGTTTGGGAAAGGCTCTAACTGATGGCGTGGGTGCCCAGGCGGCCTTGGCTTCCTGCTGACCGGCCCCTCCATTCCTTCTGCCTTCACTACAGCCCACGCGGGAGTGGCGGCCTCCTGTCGGCACGGCAGGCTCAGGTGTGCACCATTCCTGCACCTGTGTCTCCTGGAGACCAGGTCTGTCTGGACCAATTTGACCTCACTCCAGGGCCTACACTGCCGCCACCACCAGGCAGTGCACCTGGGCTTCCCTCCGGCTCTGCTCTCTGCTCTGCCCGGAGAGCTTCAAGCAGAAGGACGGAGGGAGACCAGGTACGGGGGGAGGGAGGGCGCCCGGTCCACGTGGAGGGGATGTGCCCACTCTCTCCGGAAGCTCCCTCCTCCTCCTCCCCCGCCCCTCCCCCGCGCTCAGGTTGTTTACCCGCTAACCGCAAAGGAAGGGGGTGGTGGTGGCTGTGCCTGTTTTCAGACCTTTCACTCACAGCTGTCCGCCTGCACCTGCCCCACCTGGCTTCCCGGCTGGCTCTTCCCACTGTCCTCGGACCAGACCCTCTCCGAGGCATTCAAACCGTGGTGACCAGCTAATGCGGTTCAAAAAGACACTCAGCCTATCAGCAGTGAGCTCAGGGAAGGAGTGGATGGCCGCGGGCACTCTGCACCCTGGTTCTGGGTGGTCTCCTGCTGCCCTCCTTCCAGGACAGTGAGGGTCCCTGCACTCAGGGGTGGTTGCAGTGGCCCCCAGGGCCCCCCGGCGTGGGCCATACACTCCCTCGTGGCAGGCAGACCCAGTCCCCAGTCTGGGTCTTTTCCTTCTGGTCCCCGAGGCAGGCGTCCTGGGAGCAGTGGGTGAGGGGCTACCTCAGTACAATGGCAGAGCCACCTGTCCACACCCACCCCAGTCCCTGTGCCGTGAGCTCAGTCCAGCGCCTCGCCCCACGCTCAGGATGACTGTCTCTGGGGCTGCACTAGTCTCCCACAGAGGGCAGGTGCGGTCTCTGACCACGAGCCCCCATCACCCCAGTCCTGTCTAAAGCCCACTGGTTCCCAGTTCACCTACACACAGCGTTTTTCTTCTCCTCCTTCCAATGTCACATGAACTAGCAAAAGCAGGGGCACGAAGAGGTCACGTTTGCGAGTACGGGCATCAGGACGGGAGCGACACCCTCTGCGTTCATGCCACAGAACACCCCGCGGCTGAGCAGGATCGGTCCACCTCCGTGCTCTCCTGGGGAAGAGCCTGCACCCATGTTGCTGGATTTCAGGACCACTGCCGGGCATTCCTGCAGCCCGATGCCGCGGGCCCTTCACTGGGGCAGGCGTGCGGGGGAGGGCAGGCTCCAACCTCCGCTCCTGCCTTCGTTTATTTATTTTTAAATTTTTTCTTTATTGATTTCAGAGAGAGAGGAAGAGAGAGAGATGGAAACATGGATGAGAGAGATCATCGATTGGCTGCCTCCTGCACGCCCCACACTGGGGATCGGGCCCACAACCTGGGCATGTGTCCTGACCGGGAATCGAACCGGCGGCCTCGGGGTGCATGGGTTGACACAACCACTGAGCCCCACCGCCGGGCTCCACTCTGCCTTTAAACCCGGGTTCTCCACTTTTGTCTCCTGTGTGTCACACAGATAAGGCTTTTGTTTAAGAAAATGTTCTCCTTTCCTTTGAAAACCCTGGAGTCGCAGGGCCGGTCTAACTGCCTCCCAAGGGCCTTTAAATTGCAACAAAGTATCTATTCTCTGACCTTTCAAACTTCTCTTCCACCTCCTGGCTGCAGACCGCCCATCTCCCGGCTTGACATTCCACCGGCTGACCGGCCTCCTACCGCAGCACACGGATCCCTGTGCCTCCTTCACGCCCCGCACGATCCTCCCACGTTCCGTGCTCCCCAACAGGCACCACCTCTCCCTCTGGCCTGGCACCCACTCCCCCCTAGATGACAAGCTCTTGGAGACAGGCCCCTGTATGCACCTCGAAAGGCCACCTTTCCACCCCGGGGACATGCAACAGTTGTTCCCCACACTGCTCAGAGCAGGTTCCCAGACAGGCCGGGGCCCTGGTGTTCTGAGCTTGGGCAAGTGTCTCCGCGTCCCCGTGACACCCAGATGTTCTGCAGTCCCGGCCTCCTCCAACGCCTTTGACAGCCTAGAGCCGGCCTTGGGTCCTCCCTCTGCTGTAAGAACCGTTTCCATATCAGCACCGATTACCACCGCGTGACTCATACTGGAACCCAGAGGGAGTAAAACAGAAAGACAGCAGCCCCACGCCGGCAGTTCAGAGGGAGGACAGGTGCACAGCGCAGAGCAGTCCGTGGGCAGCCTCAGCCGCACGGCGGGGGCGGGAGCCCGGCCGCCCACTGCCGGTGGAGGGCTCTGGTGCCCTTTATGACAAACACTCGAGCCCGCTCTCCAAAGCATCCAGGTTGATGAGTGTATTTCGCATTGAAGGCCAACGAGGGGGGATGTGTCCCCAGGACCCAGAGGTCCCACCTCCCAAAGACCCAGGTTTAGATGAGGGTTGGGGGCGGGGGACTGTTTCTTCCTCCTGACAACAGGTGTTTGTTTGGCAGCAGCAGAGGGGCGAGGGGAGGAGGCTGTTTTGAAAGGTGTTGGGCATGGCGGTGCCTCTCAGCAGGAGCCATCAAACAGCTGTTCTGAGGGCTTGGGAGGGGCAGGTGTTGAACTACTTCCCACACCCAGGGGATCGGCCCCTCCGTCCTTCCCCACACCAAGCAAGGTTGGCTCTGGCCTGGCGGGAGGTGAAGCGGCAGGGATTCTGAACAGCGAGGGCCGGAGGCAGCGGGGCAGGCTCCAAACCCCACGCCCAGAGCGCCCGTGCCCATGGCCCTCTCTCTCCTCTTCACACTCATGCGTGTGCGCACTCTGGCCGCAGCACACACCTGTGCACAGACAGGTGTGCCCAGGGGGGGCCGCAGTGGCGTGGGGTGTGTGCAGGTACCTGGTGGACAACAACCTTCCACATCGACTGGGGATCCATGGCCCAGAGAAGGCAGGAAGCGTGGTAACCGGGATGGATGAGAACAGGGCCAGGAACATGGTAGAAAATCGCTGTGAGGACTGGGGATGGGGCAGGAAGGGGCTAGAACACTCTGTGCCGGGTGCCAGGAGAAGGGGAAGAGGGGTTACAATGTTGCTCTTCCCCTTCCTTTCCTTCCTTTCTCTGCCTTTCCCTTCTTCCCTTCCTGGGGGTTCTCTGAGCTCAGTCGGACTCCGAGTACAGAAGCTGCTGCCCCGCCCCGGTAGCGTGGGGTCAGCAAGCGCCTGCTGGCTGGGATTCGGAAAGCAGGTGAGGCCGGGGTGTCTGGGGCATTCCCAGGCTCTGCCCGGTCCCCGCCTCTTTCACACTCTCTGCCCTGCCTTGGACGACACGGTTGCAGGACACCTTAGGACAAGGCAGAGCTCCAGCTGACAGGTGGAATGATGGGGGCCGCCCAGAGCGGGGCTCAGGTTTAGGGCTCCGCTGTGCGGGGACAGGTCCGGGAAGCTCTGCTTCAATGGTAGTTTGTGAGAAAAGGACCTGAGATCACTCAGAGGGGGGCGTGGCCACAGAGCGCTGCGTCACCTCCCTCCAGGTGAGCCAACACCTGCAGGTGGGCATCGGGCACCGGCCCGGTCTATTTGGTCTGCCAAGGGGTCCTGATCTCCCCACCTTGGGGTGTGTTTTCAGGTACTGGGGTGAAGAGAAGACACAAGTCCTGGAGAGCTGTCTTCTTCAAGGACTGACGAGAGCCCCCATGGGCAAGAGGGCCAGCTAGGTCTGTTCTAGAGGGCAGACCTGGGGGACGGGCAGAGGTCGGGGTCGGGGGTGTTTGAGTCCTAGGAGAAAGAATCTTTTCACAGGTAGAACATACCGCACGGGTTGGGGTCCTTGGGAAGGAGAGGAAGGTGTGACCCCAGTGTGGGAAGGAATTCCTGTTTGGGGGGGCAGCCCTGCCCTCAAATGCCCTCTGCTCCTAGCTCCTAGGTGCTTGGGTTCTCCGCCTGCAGCACCCCGCCCAGGGCTGAGCTGATCTCAGCGTGATCTTCGTGAGCTCGGCACCTGGTGGACGGTTGCTGGTCTCACCTGTCTGTCCTGCAGCCAGTGAACCCCCCACCCGAGCTTGCTCCTCAGCCTTGGGGGCGGGGTTCCCGAGTGGACGCTCCCCCGGGCAGAGCCTGGGGCTCCAGGGCCCGAGGCGTCTGCACACAGCGGGCCGCGTGGCCCTGTCTGGACAGTCCCAGCCAAGAGTCGAGCTGTGAGGAGCCCGCCAGGGCTTTCTCCTTCCACCCTTCAGTGGCCTGAGGGGCGCGGGGGTCTGGAGGGACGAGCCCCGCCGAAGGGTTGTATCCCTTACCCAGGCTTCAGAGGGCTACGCTCCCCAAAGACCACCTTCCTCTAGAACTTGCCATTTGTAAGTTTCTCCCTTCCAGACCCCACCCCTCTGGAGCCAGCCTGCCGGCTCCTTTTCCATCTCTCCCCACAGGGTTCGCCCTCAGGGACATGGGCTACTCGATGTGGCTCTAGGGGGCACTGTGGACGACCCCTACCTCAGCACGGAGTCTTTAGGTTAAAGGGGTCCGGTCCCCCTTGGCACCCCCGATCAATTTGTACTTGGGAGACAGAGCCAAGCAGACTGAGGGACAGAGCTGTCTCCTGGGAACAGCACACTCCTGAAACCACCACCCGGGGCAGCGACTTGCCATATTCTGTCCCCTCGATTCCGAGAGAATCCTCATTCCTGTGTCCTGATTCTCAGTGGGAAATCCACGGCACTTTGTCCCCCGCTGCCCCAGAGTGGAACAGCCCCAGGAGGGCGAGTTCCAATGGAGACCACGTGTGCCGGCGCCCAGAGCCACCCAACGCTCCCCCTCCCCCGGCGGGCCCTGGGTCTCGCCCTCATTTCTGACCCCTCCGATCACACCCAGTTGGGGCCTCCACCACCGGGGTTCTTCTGGGACTTTTGACCTAGTTGGAGGGGCACCCTCCCTTCCCCCAAGATAAAGCCCAGAAATGCCTGAACTGGTTTTGGTTCCTCTTCTTCACACCTCCTTGATGAAATGAGATTACTGGTGGATGCGCTCTGCAGCCGATCACACTGAAGTCATAGTGCGTGGGGTCGGTCACACTGAAGTCAGGGCATGGGGTCGGTCACTGGGGAGGGGTCGGGGGAGCCAGGCCTGGGCATGGACCAGCTTCTCCCTGCTCTACAGCAGCTTCCGCACCTGGATGGTCTGCGGCGTGGGGCTGGGGACACCGTAATGACTGCGCCCCCTGTTGGTGCCCAGCTCCTGGTCGGCCCAGAGGAGGCTCTGTGCCCTCAGACGGAGGTTCCCGCGGACAGAGTCTGTTCTGTGTCTCTCTAGTTTGCCTTCCCAGCAGGATGGGCCCCTGGCAGGCCCACCCCAGGGGCCCGACTCCTTGTTCCGTCTCTTTAGCCATCTAGTTTGTATCTCTTTGGGTCTTTCTTTCTGGGGAACCGGCAATCCATCTTAGGAAAATGGGCGTTTTTAAGCTGCTGGGGTTGACCTTCGATGTCAAGAGGACAAGGACACGGAGGGGACTAGGAATAGGAGCTCGACTGCCTCCCAGAGGATGGTGAGCTGAGACTTGCGGTGAATCGCAAATCAATCAACACTTAGGGAGAAGCTGCTCCGGGCAAGACTTCTGCTCAGCTACCCGGGACCCTGGGCTGCGAGACTGCAGGGGGCCGTCAGGACTGCTCGGGGCCCTGCTGTGACGGGTGGGGGTACAGGGAGAGTCTGGGGCGCAGCCCGGGAGGAGAGCAGGGAGGCCAGCGAAGGTGCTGCTGGGCCCTGGGAGCTGGACAAGGGCGCCAAAGCCCACGGGCTCCCAGACTCTGGGGCTCCAGGCCAGACCCCCACTGACGGGGTCCTGGCAGGCTGGGACACCTGGTCCGAGACCACTCTTTTGACGTGTGACATGAAGCAAGTGGCCAGTACCTCTCCCGGGGCTGTGAGTGTTCTCTGCTGTCTCCCTGCCCCCAGCCACCACCTGTCTCCAGTAGGTCACACCGTGGAGCGAGGCGGCCAGTTCGGGGAAACTCTTGAGGTTTCTCAGAAACTAGGAGCAACTAGGCCTGGAGCCGGTGCTGTGCCATCCAACTGGGTCAGGGCTCATGGTCAGCTTGCAGCTGCGGGCAGAGGAAGACGCCCCGTGACCTAATCAAGTAGGGCCAGGGGACAGGACTGGGGGCCGGGGTGGTGGGCTCTGGGTCTGAGTCGGGTATTGCCCAGACCCGCTTCATGGTCATGAGGCCTGCGCGGTCACACCGAGGACAGCCCCGTGTTTGGCCCAGTGCTCGGCGGCTGCTGTCGTGAGATTTTAATACCGAAGGCGCCGCAGTTCACGTCCCGCTGGGTGTGATCAGGCGGGGGTTCTGGCTCTGCTTTGGCCTGGGGAGAGGCCATTTTCTTAAGATGGATTGCTAATGCCCAGGAGAGAAGGACCCAGACCTCCCCGCCACCTCCTTCTCCCATGTCCTACTTAGACACCCCAGCCTCGGTCTAGGCGCGTGAGAGGCAGGTTCTGCAGGCAAGTCTGGGAGCAGGGCTGATGGGCTCCCAGTACAGACTCCAGCTAAGGCAGCTGGAGGGCGAGTTTAAGGTCAGGAGAAAGGGTTTGGGTCCTTCCTCACCCAGCCCAGATGCAGCTCAGAGAGGGGTCCTTTCCCTAGAAGTGCCCTGGGCCATGGGGGGAAAGAAGAAAAGACCCCAAAGAAGTTTCCAGAAGATCCTTAAAACAGTCCTCTGCTGTGTACCAACAAGAGTCCTGGGCTCTTTGGCTGAGATGCTCCCCACACGCATTCTTGGGGAGCCCGGCGACAAGCAAGCCAACTAAACCACTTTATAGCCCACCCAAGAACACTTATTTCTAGAGATCCCCGTCTTTTGAGGGAGGCCACAACACGTCCTAAGACACTTCTGGGGTTAATACCGAGTTCTCGCGCCAACTCCGAACCTCCCGCCTCTGGCTCCCCGGGGTCCTCTCCCTTGCTGACCACCTGGTCCCACCCTTCCTCAGTTTAGCACATAATCATTGTCTAAGAGCTTCCGGTGAGTGAAGTGTTTTTTCTTGGCCAGACCACAAGCCAATTTCAAGGGCTAAGACCAGGTCCTCAACTTTCTCCATCTAACACAGAATGCAGGGTCCCCACGACAGGGTCACACAGTCGGTGGGTCGAGTAGCAGTGTCAGCCTCCTGACAGTCAGGAAACCTCCAGAGGTCTCTCCCATCTAGCCTCGCACGCCGCCCCGAGGAAGCAGAGCACAGAGAGGCTAAGTGATTTGGTCCAGGTCACACAGCAAGTCAGGGAGGAGGTGACACCTGACTTACACTCCCGGCTCCCTCTGAAGGATGTCTGTTCAAGGCATAGCTGTTTATCTGCTTTGTCCAAGCAGTGGGCCAATGGCCGGTCTGGATCCTGCCCATCCAGAGCGGGAGGGGACTCCCCCGCTATCCCGCGTCCTCGGGCTCTGGGCACAAAATATTTAGAATTCCAAGCAGGGCCCGGGCACCCATGAGCTCTCTGTCCCTACTCACCAGGTCCATCATGGTGCTACCGAGGAGGAGGTCCATGTCCAGGGTTAAGGGGTAGTTCATAGCTGTCGCTCTCTGTCGCCCAGCTGGTTGCTCGCTGTGTGATGTTGAGACTCCCCGCCTGGTACCTATAGCGAGGTGGCAGCCGCCAGCTACACATTTAAGCAAATGAGCTGTGCGTTGTCTCCTGGGGCTGCGTAGGGCCGGCTGCCTGCCTCACAACTCATCACTTTTTTTTTTTCCACTGGGTCTTTTCTGTGTGTGTGTGCGTGTGCTTTTTTTTTAAGAAAGAGGGAAAATCCCCGTAGCCTGAGTGCTAGCCAAGCATTTCAGCTCTTTCCTGGCATTGGTGCCTCGTTTGGGGCTTGACACTGGTCTGGAGGCTGCCCCCACGCCTCCTCCCAGTGCCTCCGTCGCCTTCCAATGAGACCGTCGCGTCTTGTCATGAAAACCACCGCACCGTCGGGCGATGAGGGAAACTCCACGTAGAAAGGGAACAGGAAAGCTCTCCTGGGACCCTCCTCCAAGCCGGCTCCAAACCTTCACCTTCCTCGCCGCCAGGGCGCCGGGTCGTCCAGCGGGCCTGGGGCTGAAAGTCCCTTGTCCCGGGAAACCCCTAAGTCCTGGGCAACCTGGGGCACGGCCACCCTCCTGGGCACCAGCCTCTCGCCCAGGCTGCTCGACCCCCTTCCTTCTTAGCTCCAGTTCAGAAGAAACAGGTTAGACATTTTCAGAGGGAACAAGACCAAAATAATTCTAGGGGACCAAAATGAAATTACCCAAATTACCAAGCGCAAAAACAGAGTTATTTTCTGACTCAAAAAAGAGTGATGATCCAGCGACAAATGAACTTGGTTGGCATGCAGATGACGGAAACCGTAGCCTGACTCCCCAGCTGGGGTGGACTCTCGCTCAGAAGGGCGCTCAGGTCCAGAGCCGTCCCCAGGGCCCGCCGCTCAGCAGAGGCCGCGCCGGGACTTGACACCAGTCCCGAGTCCATGCCCAGTGTCTGCTCCAGCCCAGGCTGCCGCTCCTACAGGCTCAGGGAACCCCTTCCTGTCCTTCCACTCTGCCTGGTCTGAGGACCCCTTCATTTAAGAAGCCCCTTTAGACATTGTCAGTTTCCCCCCAAGTCTCTTCTTTGTGCCTTTTCCCCAAGAGAGGGCATTTTCTCTCTCGGTCCACGGTGATGGGGGAACATGGCTGCTCGCACAGGGGAACCCACACACCGCCTGCTGCTACCCTGCCCGCCCAGCCCTGTGAGCATCCCGCCCTCCGCCCGACCCCACTCTCTGGGGTCCAGCCTTTCCAGTGCCTGGCTCACCTTTTCCTCCCGTCAGCTCCCCTTCTCTCCTAGTCACCTCGCTTGCAACCCCCACGTGCCCCCCCAACAGTTACACCTTTTTGGGTTTCAACAAGCTGAGGGGGTTTCAGCCTCTGTCTGGGTTGTTAGGGTCTCTCTCCATCCACTCACTGCCTTCCAAGGAGGAAAACTCCCAGGACACGTGTGGGTGTTCCCCCCTTCACCTCCAGTCCTGAACCTCGAGGACCACCTGGTCCTACGGCTTCCTGAGCCCCCCCCCCCCCCCCGTTCCTCCCGCCCACGACATTCCTGCCGGCCCCACCTGCCGGGTATTTAATGCAGCTTCTGCCGCTCCGAGGGCCTAGCAGGAGGAGCCAGAGCATATCAAACGTATAGGAATCGGAGGATGATTCATAGAGGAAATACAAGATTCTTGTTTAAAAAAAAAACACACACACACGTTTTGGTTGATATGTTTTTAGGCAGAGAGGAAGAGAGAGAGAGGGAGAACTATCGGTCAGCCGCCTCCTGCCTGCTCGCCCCCCACTAGGGGTGGAGCCCACAACCCGGGCATGTGCCCTGACCAGGAATACAACAGGTGACCTCTTGGTGCCGGGGTTGACGCTCAACCTGAGCCACACGGGCTGGGCAGGAAATACAAGCATACAAGATTCTTGTTGCTACATCCTCCGCGGGTGGTCATCCAGTATTAACACAAACACCACCACTGTTCCTTCCGAGAGATGGTGTTTTCCTGTAGGATGATTTAATCATTGTAAACTTACCCCTCACACTGAGTCAAAATACGTCTCTGTAACTCATCGCCAGAGGTCCCGGCTCTGCCTTCCGTCCAGACCGTCTTACTCCTCGTCAAAGACGCACCCTCCGAAGACACGCCACACCGTCGCCGGTCTGTTCTCGTCTCCAGAACACACAGCCCAGTGTCTTCAGTCAGTCTTCAAAGGACACGACCTGCTCTCTGATTTCTGGGTGATTTGTGGTTAGTGGTCCACATCTGACTAGGACAAAATACAGGAAGATAAGTCCGGCCGGCGTGGCTCAGTGGTTGAGCGTTGACCCTGCGCTAAGTGGTCGCCAGTTCGATTCCCGGTCAGGGCACACGCCCAGGTTGTGGGCCCGATCCCCAGTGGGGGGCGTGCAGGAGGCGGCCAGTTGATGTTCTCTCTCATTGATGTTTCCATCTCTCTCTCCCTTCCTCGCTCTCTAAAATCAATAAAGAAAAAAAAAAAAAGGAAGATAAGAGTTTTCTTATTGAAGATCCCATACTTCTCTAACTGCAATCAAAGTGGTCTTTCCTGTGGGCTCCCACCTTCCTTGGCAATAGGCCTCGTGAACTTCGTTTTGATGGTGCTGGTCCATCCTATCAGCTCATAGGGTAACTTCTGGAACCCCGAATCAGTCGTCTGGTGGTGTGCTGATGGCGAGATCGGCACGCAGTCCTTGGGTCTACCCCAGTCCTGCGGGGGACACGGACGAGACAGAGCTGAAGTGGAAACCCTCCTTCACGCCAGAGACCTGGCATTTTCAAAGGCCAGGGAAGAGTTCGTGGAGGACGCAGGGCATGAGCTGGACACTGACGCGCCCGGAGAGGAGGGTGCGTGGCAGGGGGCAGGGGGCATGGGGCACGATGAGGACCGCGTGAGAAATGTGTGCAAAGAGTTCCTCCGGATCGGGGGGCCTGGCTACGGCAGTGACGATGAGGATGATGTGAGGGGGCAGCGGGGTAGGTAAGTACCTGCTCTGGAGAAGGTAGGAATCGCTCTCCTCTCCTCTCTGCTTCTTCCCGCAGGACATTTCTCTTGACGTGTTGCAGGCCCAGGAAAGGGGTTGCGGGGAGGCTCGGGGCTTCTCAGGTGCGGCAGCTTTGGCGGTGGCCTTAGCTGCGGTGGTGTGGCCAGTGCGCCATCTGTTTCTCGGTGGCTGGCGGCTTTTATGGAGAGAACTCCTCTCTGCTCCCTGACTTCCTGGTGCTTCTTGTACTGTGGACCCATGAAGATGTCCCGTCCTGTCTCTGGAGACGCTGGGACATACTACAGGTTCCCAAGGCCCACTCGTCTCAGGCACTGACATCAAAGGATGGTCCACTTGCTTTGCCCTAAATGGGTAAATACCTACTGACCACGGGTTCTAATGTTGCTTTAGAAGGTTCGGAGAGTAAGCGCCTGTGGCTGAGAAGATGATCGTATAATCTTCAAACCCACCAGTACAGGGGGGCAGTGCCTAGGACAGTCAGATGGGGAGGATGCTTCCAGGTGAGGCAGCCCAAATTTTATTTCCATGTGCGACTTGTTTATATTTCCACCACGCGCGATCCCGGTCCCCACCCAGTGGACAGCCGACCTGAGGTTAAACTGTTCTACAGGCTTCTCATCAAAATGACCACTGGTGTTCTTTCATTTATTTTTTTCTTTATTGATTTTAGAGAGAGAGGAAGGGAGAGGGAGAGAGAGAGAGACATCGCTGAGAGAGAACATGGACTGGCCGCCTCCTGCACGCCCCGCACTGGGGATCGGGCCTGCCACCTGGGCCTGTGTCCTGACCGGGAATCGAACCAGCGACATTTTGGTGCAGGGTCGATGCTCAACCCCTGAGCCCCACCGGCCTGGTCCCTGGTGCTTCTTCGGAGAATGGGCACGAGTGCTGGCCTAGGTGGGTGGCTGCTTACCACTGGCTCAGGTGGACTTTTCTCAGTAATTCCACTTCAAAGGTCATGGGTTCTACTACATTTCCATTTATTCCAGACACAAGATACAGCCGCTAGTCTTGGAGTTCATTTCCCACATTCTACAGACAAAGTAAGTTTTCCTCGGAGTGTTGGAGTGCAGAGAATCGGTTGGGGTTCCCCCTGCCCCCCTCCACCATTTCTTTCATGAACCTGGGACGCTCTCTCTCTGGCCTGGGCAGAGGTCTTATTCTCTTCCTTCTCCGAGCCTCTCACAACTGTTCAAACAGAGCTCCTTGGGTCCCCATCTAACGAGGAGTCAGCCGGAGGAAGTGTTGGGCACTCCTCTAGGCCCCCAAAAAGAATACCAGTAACAGTCTGGCCGGTGTGGCTCAGTGGCTGAGCGTCGACCTGTGCACAAAGAGGTCACTGGTTCGATTCCCGGTCAGGGCACATGCCCAGGTTGTGGGTCTGATCCCCAGTGGGGGGCGTGCAGGAGGCGGCCAATTGTTGTTCTCTCTCATCGATGTTTCTCTCTCTCTCTCCCTCTCCCTTCTTCTCTCTCTAAAATCAATAAAAGAAAAAAAAAAAAAAAGAAAGAATACCAATAACACTTGCATAGCATTTACCCATCTACAAAGGCCTCCAATGTTGAGCTTTAGTTTTACCCAATCTTAGTATTTAAGTTAATTTCACATTCAATTATATTTAATCCTCAACTGTCTCCTTCAGCAGGTAATGGCATCACCCCCAGCCATACTTAAAAAAAAAATTGTTTTTTATTGTCGACACTAGCACAGAGGCCCCCACTTCCTGGCCATGCTTTGGAGGGGACGAGGAAACAGAGGCTCCTCCTCGCTCGTGACTACAGAGAGTAACTGCAGAGTCAGGGTGTCTGTGGAGCCCACCTGGACTGTCTGCACCAGACCACACGACTTCTCTCACAGATTGAGTTTTGCAAAGGGAACGACACCTACCCAGCTGTCGGAGGGGAAACTGTGCCCACACCCTCTGGGCTGTTCACCGGGCACGTACCGTGAGCCTGCCCGGAGCTAAGCTCTTCCCACGAGCATTTCCTCTGCTTCTCTGCACAGCCTTCGGTGCTGTTTTTCACGTTATCGCACAGGTGGAAACTGAGCAGTCCTGGGAAGGAGCTGCAAGTGCTCACAGCTCACACAGACACCGGGGACCCAGAGGCCCGATGCGCAGCAACACAGGAAGTGCGGGGCTGAGTTCTCAGCGCTGGGAGCCAGCCCACGCGGGACAGGTAGGTGTCCTCCGGGAGGAAACGGGCTGCAGGTGCAGGGTGGGTACCTCACGTCCACCTCAGGCTCACAGGGGCCACGAGAGAGTCTGTGAGCTCCGCCTGGGGCGGGCCATGTGGCCAGGGTTAGAGAGCGAGGCAGCTGCCTGAGTCCTGGGAACGGAGCCGGCTGGAGGGGAGACGGGAGATCGTGGGAGGAGGGATTCAGGCTCTGCCCCGGGGCACTTTGTCACAGAGGAGCGAGAGACACTCGTTTGCACACTCACATACACAAGCACCTTGAGACCCTTTTCAAAGCAGCACTGTGAACGCCTTATGAGCCTGTGCTGGCCGCAAATGGCAGGTGGGCCCACAGACTGAGGACAAACCCCACAGACTGAGGACGAACCCCACAGACTGAGGACGAACCCCTCAGACTGAGGACCAGCCCCACAGACTGAGGACGAACCCCACAGACTGAGGATGGACCCCACAGACTGAGGATAAACCCCACAGAGTGAGGACCAACCCCACAGACTGAGGACCAGCCCCACAGACTGAGGACGGACCCCACAGACTGAGGACGAACCCCACAGACTGAGGACCAGCCCCACAGACTGAGGACCAGCCCCACAGACTGAGGTAGGACCCCACAGACTGAGGACCACCCCACAGACTGAGGACCAGCCCCACAGACTGAGGATGGACCCCACAGACTGAGGACCAGCCCCACAGACTGAGGATGGACCCCACAGACTGAGGATCAGCCCCACAGGCTGAGGACGAACCCCACAGACTGAGGACCAGCCCCACAGACAGAGGACGAACCCCTCAGACTGAGGACGAACCCCACAGACTGAGGACGGACCCCACAGACTGAGGACCAGCCCCACAGACTGAGGATGGACCCGACAGACTGAGGACGGACCCCACAGACTGAGGATGAACCCCACAGACTGAGGACCACCCCACAGATTGAGGACGAACCCCACAGACTGAGGACCAGCCCCACAGACTGAGGACGAACCCCACAGACTGAGGATGGACCCCACAGACTGAGGATAAACCCCACAGAGTGAGGACCAACCCCACAGACTGAGGACCAGCCCCACAGACTGAGGACGGACCCCACAGACTGAGGACGGACCCCACAGACTGAGGACCACCCCACAGACTGAGGACCAGCCCCACAGACTGAGGATGGACCCCACAGACTGAGGACCAGCCCCACAGGCTGAGGACGAACCCCACAGACTGAGGACCAGCCCCACAGACAGAGGACGAACCCCTCAGATTGAGGACGAACCCCACAGACTGAGGACGGACCCCACAGACTGAGGACCAGCCCCACAGACTGAGGATGGACCCAACAGACTGAGGACGGACCCCACAGACTGAGGATGAACCCCACAGACTGAGAACCACCCCACAGACTGAGGACCAGCCCCACAGACTGAGGATGAACCCCACAGAATGAGGATAAACCCCACAGAGTGAGGACCAGCCCCACAGACTGAGGACCAGCCCACAGACTGAGGACCACCCCACAGAGTGAGGATGAATCCCACAGACTGAGGATGAACCCCACAGAGTGAGGACCACCCCACAGAGTGAGGACTAGCCCCACAGACTGAGGACCAGCCCCACAGACTGAGGATGAACCCCACACACTGAGGACCACCCCACAGACTGAGGACCATCCCACAGACTGAGGACCACCCCACAGACTGAGGACCAGCCCCACAGACTGAGGACCACCCCACAGACTGAGGACCAGCTCCACAGACTGAGGATGAACCCCACAGACTAAGGATGAACCCCACAGACGGAGGACCAACCCCACAGACTGAGGACCAGCTCCACAGACTGAGGATGAACCCCACAGACTAAGGATGAACCCCACAGACTGAGGACCAACCCCACAGACTAAGGACCAGCTCCACAGACTGAGGATGAACCTCACAGACTGAGGATGAACCCCACAGACTAAGGATGAACCCCACAGACTGAGGACGAACCCCACAGACTGAGGACCAGCTCCACAGACTGAGGATGAACCCCACAGACTAAGGATGAACCCCACAGACTGAGGACCAACCCCACAGACTGAGGACCAGCCCCACAGACTGAGGATGAACCCCAGAGACTGAGGACCACCCCGCAGACTGAGGACCAGCCCCACAGACTGAGGATGAACCCCACAGACTGAGGATAAACCCCACAGAGTGAGGACCAACCCCACAGACTGAGGACCAGTCCCACAAACTGAGGACCAGCCCCACAGACTGAGGACCACCCCACAGACTGAGGACCAGCCCCACAGACTGAGGACCACCCCACAGACTGAGGACCACCCCACAGAGTGAGGACCAGCCCCACAGACTGAGGACCACCCCACAGAGTGAGGACCACCCCACAGAGTGAGGACCACCCCACAGACTGAGGACCAACCCCACAGACTGAGGACCAGCCCCACAGACTGAGGACCACCCCACAGACTGAGGACCACCCCACAGAGTGAGGACCAGCCCCACAGACTGAGGACCACCCCAGAGACTGAGGACCACCCCACAGACTGAGGACCACCCTACAGACTGAGGACCACCCCACAGAGTGAGGACCAGCCCAGAGACTGAGGACCACCCCACAGAGTGAGGACCAGCCCCACAGACTGAGGACCACCCCACAGACTGAGGACCACCCTACAGACTGAGGACCACCCCACAGACTGAGGACCACCCCAGAGACTGAGGACCACCCCACAGAGTGAGGACCAGCCCCACAGACTGAGGACCACCCCACAGACTGAGGACCACCCCACAGACTGAGGACCACCCTACAGACTGAGGACCACCCCACAGAGTGAGGACCAGCCCCACAGACTGAGGACCACCCCACAGACTGAGGACCACCCCACAGACTGAGGACCACCCCACAGACTGAGGATGAACCCACAGACTGAGGACCAGCCCCTGCTCCTTCACCCCGAGCGCTGTGCGTGAGCCTGCTCACTCTTGTGGAAAGAACTGAATTGCACCCCAAAGACCTGGACCGGACCCGACACCTTTCTTCAGCAAGGCTGCCGTTAGACAGAGCCCTTCCTAGATACTCGGAGACACACCGGACAGAAAGCCAGAACGTGGCTCTCAAACTCTCTTCCTTAGAATCACCTGGAGGGCTTGTTAAACCCAGATTGTGGGGTCCCCCTTCAGGGGCCTGCTCCCAGAGGTCTGCATGGGACCTGAGAATCCAATCACTTCGAAGTGTCTGGTGATGCGGCCATCGCAGCCCAGAGCCGCACCGTGAGAACCGCCGCTGCTGTTTTCGCGGGATTGGCCCACAGAGAGGCTCGCTCTCACACCGCTCGTGTCCCAGGCTGGGGTTCCCAGCCTCCCAGCTGTGCTCTCAGCCCCCTTCCCCACCACATGCTGTCACACCCCTAGAACAAGTCATAACACCTCGCACGACTGGCACCACAACCCACACTGGTTTCCCCAGAACACCTGGCCTGTGCGGCCCAAGCGGGCAGGGCTAAGGGTTAGCTCCTGGCTCCCAGGCTCCGGCGGCCTCCCGCCTCCAGCCGCTCCGGCCCATCTCGGCCTCCACCAAGGGCTGGCACTTAAGCTAGTTAACCTTCGGCAGGCACGTAACCGGTCACTTTGACCGTGGCCCTTAGCAAGAAATATGATTTTTTTTTGTTTTTTTTTATCCTCACCCGAGGACATTTTTCCATTTTTTGTTCAGGTAGAGTGGGAGGGAGAGAGAGGAACAGAGAGAGAGAAAACATCGATGTGAAAGGAACACATCGAGTGGCTGCCACCCGCACGACCAACCAGGGCCGGGGACAAACTGCAACCGAAGTACGTGCCCTTAGCGGGAACCGAACCCGGGTCTCTCCGGACCGCAGGCCGACGCTCTAACCGCTGAGCCAAACCGGCCAGGGCGAGAAATATGTTTTACATCACAACCTAGTCGGCACGTGAGTGTGTGCGTGTGCACACACAGACACACACACACACGCACACAGACACACGTGCGTGCACACGCTGCTAGAAAGGGGCTTGGAAAGGAAGGACGTCTAGGCAGGACTTGGAGGGCAGGGGAAGTGCCCAGCAGGGGTCTGCAGGTGGTACACGCCGACCTCGGGGACAGGGTGGTGGGCAGTGATCCGGAGCGAGTGAGGGAAGGCTAAGAGCCAGGGAGGTGTGTTGATGGGCATTTGGGTCACAGACAGTGCGACTGGGACGTGTGGCAGGTCCTTCGGCAACAGAACTTCACGATGATCATTCTGCAAGTGTTTATCTGACAAGGTAAAAACTGCAAGTGCGATGACAGCAGAGAACGGGGCGCCCAGACAGCGAATAAGAACGTGAACTCAGCCTCCACAAACGTGACCGCAGCCGTAGCAGCCGGATTAACTGACGGCCCGAGCCGTCCTTGCACCGTCTCGCGCGCTGCTGGGGGAGCCGGCCAGGAGTTCTTCGCCCACGAGACGACCGAGGCTCAGCAGCTCTCCCGAGTTACCTGAGTCCACGGGGAGGCAGCCCCGGCTGATCTGACTTTGGACCCGGCTCTCTTCCCTCCAGGGAGCCAGGGCTGATCTGGCCCGAGTGGGGCAGTTACCTGCGTCTGGAGGAGAGGGCAAGAAAAGTGGCAAACTGTCATCTCCCCCATGAGCGCCTCTGAGCGAGGTCCGGGCCAGGAACTGTGGTCAGCAGCAGGCCGGGCTCAGAGGCCTGGGTGGCCCCGGCAACCCTGACAGGCGAAGGCAGGAGCCGGTGGGGCAGGACCTTCAAAGGCCTTGTCAGAGGCCTCAACACCCCCTCCAGCAGTGAAAGTGAGGCGGGCCAGGGCAGAGGTGACGGCCCTCCGAAACTCACCCCCACTCTGCCGGGACGGGGAGCCCGGCCCACCTGCCGTGTCAGCACAGTCATCCGGGAGCTCATCAGAGAAAGGTTTCCAAATGACTGGCCCTGCTGCCCCAGGAAGGAAGCTCTCCGGGCTGCAGAATGGGGGCTGCTGGGTGTGGGCCAGGCACTTGAGAGAGAGTAAATGATGACACAGCAGAGGGACCCGGGCTCCTGACACAGACCAGCCCTGGGAAAAGCGGGGCGGGGCCCAGACAAAGTGGCCACCAGCCCTTAGCCACCGAAGAGGGGCCCTGGACAATCCCTGTTGGGCAGCCAGGGCCAGCTCTGCAGTTGGCCTCCCAGGCCTCTGTAATCTGGTCCGATGTACTGTGTCTGTTTCCCAGGTAATGGCTGTTTATGAACCGTCAACAGTGCGTCTTTGCGGACAGGTCTCGCTGTCCGCCTCAGGTGCTCTCTCCCCCAGCGGCACACCCCCAGGGTCCTCTGTGCCTGCTCCCTCCCTGCCTGCCTCCTCACCTCTGCCGAAGGTGTGTCCTGACAGCGGCCACCCTTCCCTGCATCTGTGCTGGACCAGAAGCTAAGGACCCTCCACGCCATCCTGGTTCGCCTTCCTGCACGAAGCTTCTCCTAAATCCGAGAGGTTTCCCTCCCCGGAGCTGGGTCTAGCGTCTTCCCCGACACCTCTCCCTTTTTACCCTGCATTATCGTATTATCCTTGTCGATGTACTGTACTCTCCTGCTAGGCTCTGGGAGTCTTTGGTGACAAGATCATTCATGACTCATCCTTTCTCCTTTGTCTCTGAGAGCTTTGCCCCTTGTGGGTTCACAGTATGGCTGTGACTGACTGACTGATGGGATGGATGGATGGATGGATGGATGGGGAGGGAGTGAGGGTGAGGCCAGTGGAGCAGGGGTGGGGTGTCTAGGAGGGGGCCCAGGGGGGTTTGGCTCTCCCTGGTGGCCTTCTGTGGCCTGGGTCTTAGTGCTTCTCCTGGGGCTGGCTCAGAGAAGAGAACATGAACTCTGAATCTGGGCTTTCTTACTCAGCCGCTGTGACCTTGGGCACGTCTCTGTCTTTTTCAAGTGTAAGTGATGTAATAATATGTACCTTAAAAAATTATTGTGAGGGCCCTGGCCTGTTTGGCTCAGAGGTTAGAGCGTCGCCTCGTGGACCAGAGAGTCCCTGGTTCGGTTGCAGTTTGTCCCCGGCCCCGGTTGGGGTCGTGTGGGTGGCAGCTAGTCGAAGTGTCTCTCTCGCATCGATGTTTCTCTCTCTCTCTCTCTTTCTCCCTCTCTCCCTCCTGCTCCATTTGAAGGCAAACGCAGTAATGTCGTCAGGTGAGGATGAAAAACAACAACAAAAAAAACAGATTATTGTGAGGATCAATGTAGAATCAATACGTGAACACACTCGAAACAGTAAGTGCTCAATAAAGTTTGTTGACTAGATATCCAAGTGAGAGAAATTTTTTAGCCTCTCTTTTTAGGGGTGTGTGTGGGGGGGGGCGGGGGAGATTTACTTTACTCCTCTTCACAGCAGAGATATCTACCTACGGGTCGACTCTTTCCTACCAGGTTATAACCTAGCCTGTGCAGGCAGGTGGGTCAGCAGGCCACAGAGGTTTGGTGGACGGATGGATAAACCTGCGTGAGCACGGAACCAGCAGCCTCTGGAGTCTAAGCTCCTACTTCCAGGTAAGCAAGGTGTTCTGGGGACTAAATGAACTGTGCGGTGGCTGTTCCCATGTTCTGCCTCAGGCACCGGGATTCTTGTCCTCTGGGTGGTGATCCGCCCTCGATCCTGCGGGGCCCTGGGGGGCTCAGGGTCACCTTCGGGGCAGTGGCTGACCCCAAAACCCGCTGGTGCTTTCTGCCCTTGCTGGGCCTGGGGGGAGGACAAGGTCACAATGCACCGAGCCCCACAGAGGAGCACAGCGCGTGGAAAATGGACATCGGCCCAGGCTTTTTGGCTGTGGAACTCGCTGTCCGGAATTTTGGTCCAGGAGCCTGCGTCCTGCTCAGCGGGGCAGTGGGGCTGAGTGGCTGGGGAGGTGCCTGGAAATAGGTGAGGAGCCCCGAACTGGCCCCAGCAGCTCTCGCACACCCAGGTCCGGGCCTGAGCAGACAGCAGGGGTTCCCCGCACGGGCTCGGCTGTGAGGGCACCGCGAGGGCAGTGTGGGGTGCCCTTGAGAGGAGCTGGCTTCACTGCTGCCCAGAGGTCGCTGAGCGGGACGGATTTTCAGTGGGAGGGTCCTGGGGGCCACGGTCTCTCTAGTTTTGTTTTCCTCCTTCAGAGGGGCCATCTGCTCTTTTCTTCTCCTGCTGACGGGAGTCTTTCCCAGTGGCTGGGGAGAGGGGGAGGGGGAGAGGGTGTCCCCCATAACTGGCCAAGGACTTTGGGGCGTGTCACCTGGAGCCATATCCTCAGGGGAGGTGGAGCTCTTCAGGCCTCTGTCCAGCCCCACACCTGAGTCTCAGAGAAGCAACACAGCCAGGGCAGGACGAGAATTCTGTTGCTTTGGCAGGTCTTTAGTTACAGCTTTTTAAGTGTTTTTTTTCTAGCTTTAAAAAAAAAATTTTTTTTATTATTGGTTTTAGAAAGAGAAGAAAGGAGAGGGAGGGAGATAGAAACATCGATGAGAGAGAACATCGATTGGCCGCCTCCTGCACGCCCCCCACTGGGGATCAGGCCCACAACCTGGGCATGTGCCCTGACTGGGAATCGAACCGGCGACCTCTTGGTGCAGGGTCGATGCTCCACCACTGAGCCACACCGGCCGGGCTCTAGTTTTTTTTTTAAGTTGAATTACACATGACTTGCATAAGTGATTAAACATTACCCAGAAAACCCTTTCATCAACACCAACAATGTGCCCCTTCTTGTCCCCAGGAACTCGGGGCAGGTCGGTGTGCTCTCCAGCTTTCTCCAGGCACCCGGAGAAAATACCGTGGGGTTTGGCTTTGTTTTTACGTAAAGGGGGTCATGTTGTTCATGTTTCAGCAAGTTAAAATCTTACTTTATCTTTATTATTTACTTATTTTGTATTGACTTTATTGCAGTGACATTGGTTTATAAAATTACATAGGTTTCAGGTGTACAATTCTATTATACATCATCTGTATATTGTACTGTGTGTTCACCACCCCCAAGTCAAGTCTCCTTCCATCACCATCTCTTTCCCCTTTACCCTCTCCTACATCCCCCAGCCCCGTCTTATTTTATTTTTAAATTTTTATTGTTTTTTGTTGTTGCTTTTAATCCTCACCTGAAGATATTTTTTCCATGCTTTTTTTTTTATTTTATTTTTTTTTTAGAGAGAGTGGAAGGAAGGGAGGCAGAGGGGGGAGAGAGAGAGAGAAACATCGATGTGAGAGAGGTCAGGAATCGAACCTACAACCCAGGTGCCTGCCCTTGACCAGGAGTTCACCAGTGAGGACGCTCTAACTGCTGAGCCACACTGGCCAAGGCGCCCCCTTCTGATTTTATCTTAGAACCAACATTACATAGAATTGGAAGATTGCAGGAAAAATTAGTCATACTGCAATGACGAGAACTAATACACATTTGTGCACCATCTTTTTTTCTTACACACACCTTGCAAATCTGTGATCACGGAACACGTGTGGTTCGGTAGCATGCTGGTTCGTGTAGTGAGATCCCGTCAACAGTGGAGGGCTTTAGCACGAAGTGTCAATGCTTCAAGTCGCTCTTTCTCTGACTCGTACTGTTTCCAAAAAGCTAAAATAATAACCAGAGCCAGCACTTATTCATTCAATTTATTCAACAATTACTACTAGGAAACTGCTGTGTGCCAGTTCCGTTCTCGGTCAAAGGGTACATCAGTGAGCAAAATAGACAAAGACCTCAATCCTCACGTCTCCGCGGAGCTTGTTTTCTAATGGGGAAAGACACATAATAAACAACATCAATATGCAAATTAAATAGCATGTTAGGTAAATAGTATATGAGACGGGCATATATACTATTTTTTGTTGTTGTTGTTGTATTACAAATGTCTCCCCTTTATTTCCCATTGCCCTCTTCTTCCCAGTTCCCGCCCACCCCAGGCTTTCACCACCCTATTGTCTGTGTCCATGGACAGTGCATATATGTGTATACGTTCTTTGGTTAATCTCTTCCTGCCCCACTCCCTTCCCTCTGAGATTCATCAGTTTGTTCCAAGTTTCCATGCCTCTGTTTCTATTTTATTCATCGGTTTATTTTGTTCATTAGATTCCACATATAAGTGAGATTATGTGATACTTCGCTTAGCATAATACTCTCCAGGTCCTTCCATGCTGTCTCAAAGGGTAATAGACCCTTCTTTTTTACAGCTGCATAGTATTCCATTGTGTAAATGTACCACAGCTTTTTTATCCACTTATATACTGATGGGCACTTGGTTTGTTTCCAGATTTATTGTGAATAGTGCTGCTATGAACATGGGGGTACATACATTCTTTCTGATTAATGTTTTCGGATTCTTAGGATGTATTCCTAGGAGTGGGGTCACTGGGTCAAAAGACAGTTCCATTTTAAATTTTTTGAGGAATCTCCATATTGTTTTCCATAGTGGTAGCACCAGTCTGCATTCCCACCAGCAGTGTGCTAGAGTCCCCTTTTCTCCACACCCTCACCAGCACTTGTTTGTTTGTTTATTGATGGCAACCATTTTGGCAGGTGTAAAGTTGTACCTCATTGTCATTTTAATTTGCATTTCTCTGATGACCTGTGACTTAGAGCATTTTTTCATATATCTCTTGGTTACCCACACTTCCTGTTTGGAGAAGTGTCTATTCAGGTCCTCAGCCCATTTTTTAAATTTTTAATTGATTTTTAGAGATAGAGGAAGGGAGAGGGAGAGAGAGATAGAAACATGGATTGACCGCCTCCTGCACACCCTCTACTAGGGATCAAGCCTGAAACCCTGGCATATGCCCTGACCAGGAATTGAACTGGTAACCTCTTGGTGCATGGGTTGACGCCACACTGCCTGGGCTTCAGCCCATTTTCATTTTATTTAAAAAAATTTTAATCCTCACCTGAGGATGTTTTTCCATTTTTGTGCAGATAGAGTGGGAGGGAGGGAGAGAGGGAGAGAGAGAGAAACATTGATATGAGAGAGACACATCAACTCTTTGCCTCATGCACTACTCTGACCAGGGCCGGGGATGAACTGCAACTGAAGTATGTGCCCTTGATTAGAATCAAACGCACAACTCGTTCGTGGTCTGGTGCTCTAACCGCTGAGCAAAACCAGCCAGGACCTTCAGCCCATTTTTTTTAATGGTTGTAGAAATTTCTACTTTAAAAAAAAAAAATTTTTTTTCTTTTTCTTTTTTTTTTTTTAATCCTCACCCGAGGACATTTTTCCATTCTTTGTTCAGGTAGAGTGGGAGGGAGAGAGAGGAACAGAGAGAGAGGGAGAGAGAAACATCGATGTGAAAGGGACACATCAAGTGGCTGCCACCCGCACAACCGACCAGGGCCGGGGACAAACTGCAACCGAGGTACGTGCCCTTAGCGGGAACCGAACCCGGGTCTCTCAGGACCGCAGGCCGACGCTCTAACCGCTGAGCCAAACCGGCCAGGGCAAAAGATTTTCTTTTTTTTTTTTATCTTCATTCGAGGACATTTTTCCATTTTTTTGTACAGACAGAGTGGGAGGGAGAGAGAGGAAGAGAGAGAGAGGGAAACATCGATGTGAAAGGGACACATCGAGTGGCTGCCACCCACACGACCAACCAGGGCCGGGGACAAACTGCAACCGAGGTACATGCCCTTAGCGGGAACCGAACCCGGGTCTCTCCGGGCCGCAGGCGGACGCTCTAACCGCTGAGCCAAACCGGCCAGGGCTAAATTTTTTTTTCTTTATTGATTTTAGAGAGGGAGAGAGAGATAGAAACATCGATTAGAGAGAACATCACGCCTCCTGCATGCCCCCACTGGGGATCGGGCCTACAACCTGGGCATGTGCCTTGACCGGGACTCAAACTGGCAACCTCTTGGTGCAGGGTCGATGCTCAACCACTGAGCCACATCAGCCGGACCCTCACCCACTTTTTAAATTGGATTATTTGTCTTCCTTTTGTTGAGTTTTATGAGTACTTTATATATTTTGGAGATTAACCCCTTATCAGATGTGTCATTGGCAATTATGCTTTCCCAAAGGTGGTTAATTTTGATGCTGTACAGAAGCTTTTTAGTTTGATGTAGTCCCATGTGTTTATTTTTCCTTGTTTCTCTTGCCCTAGGTGATGTATCGGTGAAAATTCTGCTATGTGTGATGGTTGAGATTTTGCTGCCTACATTTTCTTTAGGGTTTTTTATGGTTTCACAACTTACATTTAAGTCTTTTATCCATTTTGAGTTTATTCTTGTGTATGGTGTCAGTTGGTGGTCTAGTTTCATTTTTTTTGCATGTACCCGTCCAATGCTCCCAACACCATTTATTGAAAAGGCTGTCCTTACTCCACTGTATGCTCTTGCCACCTTTGTCAAATATTAATAGAGCATATTGCCTTGGGTCCATTTCTGGGTTCTCTGTTCTGTTCCACTGGTCTATATGCCTGTTCTTGTGCCAGTACCAGGCTGCTTTGATTACAGTGGATTTTTAGTATAATTTGATGTCTGGACTTGTGATTCCTTCTGCTTTGTTCTTCCTTTTTCAGACTGCTGTGGCTGTTTGGAGTCTTTTTTGGTTCCATATAAACTTTTGGAGTCATTGTTCTAGATCTGTGAAATATGCCATTGGTATTTTATTTATTTATTTATTTATTT